TCTGCCAATTCCTTTGCAGTTTGAAGTATATATATGTTTAGACTTGCAACAGTAGATGGGGTGTAAAAGTTTTAGTGGCTTACTAGGTTTCTTAGAGTCTCTCCTTTTTTATGTATAGTGAAGTTAAAAGTTTATTTAAAGAATTAAATTATTTACTAGGAAAAGTTTAGTATATTGTCTGTTGAAGGGGTGGAGAAGTGAGAAATATAATGTATTCACTTAAGATTCTTGTGGCAAATCCAAGAGTAGATGTCCAGCAAATAGTAAGGTCTAGATAAGGAGCTCCATCTCATTTGGAATGGGGAATGAATGAGATACTGAACAGAGTTGGAAGAATTATCTTAGGTTTTATAAGGGACACCTGTTTCACTGTAAAAAAAAAATACAAATGCAGGTAAGTGTGTTGGTTTGGTGGCAGGATGTTTGACTCGTTTTCTCAAAAGAAATGGGAGTTGTCACCTCTAGAGAGGGGACAAAAAGGCAATTTTTGTTGATGGAATAACTTTTTATATTCGTGTATCTGTGAGGGAAATATGGTGGAGAGGAGATCAAGGAACTATAGAGGCTATATTGAAGCCTGGGTGATGCTGGAAGTTACAATCTCTGTGACTATTGTACTATTATTTTTCCCTCCCACGTCTGTTCTTAGAAGTCCAACCATGGGTATTTCAGTTTCATTTACTCAATATTGGGGTTTGCATAAGCAAGTGAAGCAGATAACAGTGAGGTAAAGGGTACAAATTTAGTTAGAGAGCAATTGAAATACTGAAACATGGTAATTAAGCTAGATCTGAAAAGAAGTGAGCACGGGAGAGGACAGATTATAATAAAGGACATAATTTATGGGGTACTACATGCCTGGCTCTTTCCCAACACTTTTTATGCATGTTCTCATTAATATCATAAATCATTAAGAATTATCAGTGAAAAATTTTACCTTTTACAGAAGAGGAAACTAAGGAATGGAGAGATGAGAAAATTTGTCCAAGATTTTGTAGCCATAGTTTAATAATCAATGAAAATTTCTTTCACCAAATTGTTGAAAAAGCAGTATACTCAAATAATCTTTTCCAAATATGGGAAATGATGACTAAATTATTGACTTACTGTTTTTATGCATTTTAGCTAGATTAAAATATTGACCTAGTTTTTATAAATACTCATTTTGCCAAAATTAAATAGCCAAACCACAGCAGTACAAATATAAAAGCATTTAAATGCTAAAATAAATCAAAAGGAAAAGATTGTTTAAACCCCAGTTTTGTTGCTGGCAGTGGAGTAGCTAACTTTTATGCATCTTCTCCTTGGTGATTAGAGCTCTGCAAGGCACTTACACAAAGGCTCTTGTTTTTTATTTTCTTTAAAAAAAGGACATATAAAATTGGTAGTATTAATTTCATTTAGACATTAAGATCAGATTAGGAGAGTTTAAAGAGTTTACTCAAAAGTGCAGTCAGTCACATGGGTAAGCTAGAATTCCAGGCCTAATTCGTGTAATCCCGTCAGTGCATGAGGTCTTCCAAACGCATGTCTGTTTGGCTAGAAGAAGCTTCTCAACCCTATATCTTCAGTGTAACCTCTGGAATGCTAGAGATTTGTTTCCATGTGAAGAAGAAATTGTGCAGTAATATCAAACTCAAAATAAAGTGTTTAATAATGAAGTAAGGATCTTCCTCAAAATTGAATTATATTGTAATGGACACACATTTTTCACCTGATTTTGAGGGTTGCTATAGTCACAAACTAAATGACCCCCCCCTTTTTTTTGTGGGTTAAGTACAAAAGACCACAGCATGAAAGGAGATACACATGCAATGCAAGTTTCATATGTCTGTTTTTGGTTAAGTTTCCTTCTTAAAAATGACTGGTTTGTTGTGGAATAAATCATCTTTGACATTAGCTGTAGAACTTGGGTTGAGGAAAAATGTTTACTATGGCTTTTCATCAATTATTTTTTTAATCAATAAAGAAATGCATAAGATAGAAAATGATATCAATAAGTTAGAGGCAGAGGCATGCTATATGCCACTTTTGACCAGCCAAGCACATTGGTTCTCCAGGTCATGAAAGCAAGCAAGTGATCAGGTTCAGTTCTGGTTACAGTACTCAATTTCACAGGTTAGTTGTGTGCTGCATTTGATTACGTTATGGAAAATGTCAAGACGAAATCATCCTTTCTTCTGCCAAGGAAACATTATTAAAAGAATGATGAGCCCTGGCAGGGTGGTTCAATTGTTTTGGAGCGTTGTCCCTTTCACCAAAAGGTGGCGGGGTGGATCCCTGCTCTGGGAGCATGTAGGAGATGGCCCATTGATGTTTCTCTCTCACATTAATTCTTTCTCTCTGTCTGTCTCTCAAATCAGTCAAAACACATCCTTAGATGAGAATTAAAAAAACAAAAGCAATGAAGAGAACACTGAGAACACTCCTAGTAAAGATTATTGGCTCTCATGATAACTAATGTATATAAATCTTCCAACAACAAATGTAGCCCTGTCCACAAATTTTTTTCCATTTTATTCATTTGTTTGAAATTAAGCATTTAAGAATAAATAGTCCATTCCCTCTTCCTTGATATCCTTCTATATTTGTAAAGCACAGGCGATATAGACTTACATATAGTTTTACATTCTGTTCATCATATTCTAAATATCCCAGGTGATTAAAAAAAGAAAACAACTCATGTAAGATGTGTTTTCTGCCTTTAAAGAATGTGCAAGTCAGGAAACACCTGCGTAAAAAAGACACCTGGTAAACAGCCTGACCATTGTAAAATACAGAGCCAGGCATGAAGCTGTACAATGCCATTGTTGCTCACAAATAGACGGACTGGTAAGAGCAGAAAGGATGTGTGAGTGTCTGTTTAGATCTGAGCAAGAGCAGTGGTTCTCAAAGCGCAGTCCCAAGATCAGCAGTAATAATACCTCCTGGAAATGCAAATTATTGGGGTCCACTCCAGACCTGTAGAATCAGAAACTCTACGATCTGCACACTAACAAACATTCCAGGTGGTTCTGATGAGGCTAAAGTTTGAGAATCACTGATGTAGATTATAAATAGATTATATATCATTCCAATTATCTGTCCTAACAAGATGTAGGAAGAATAAGGATAAACTGAATCCTCAAATAACTGTGGGGTTTCATTATTGATGAACATTGCTGATGGTTATTTAAAAGCAAACAAATTCCTGCTACTTAGAATAAAATAATATAATTTGGTCAATAGAGAAGTAAAAGGAGAGATTTTTACCAACCAATTTAATCTTCTAATCCCAAATTAGTTTTTCTACTCTTTGACCACTTCCCTCCTCCCTTGATTTTATATAAAAAAAAATCTAAACTATAGATTTGCTTAACAAGTCATTTATGACAGTCCCTGGAGGTAGGGGAAGTTAGGTGCTGAATGCCTTACAGCAGTACCATGGTTCCCCAATCAGAATCAGTTAGAGGCCTGTTCAGGCAGACTTTTGGGCTCCACCATTCGGAGCTGCTTTTTCAGTTGGTCTGCAGGAAGGCCCATTTCATACTTTGAAGTTCCCACATGAAGTGGATCTGTTCTGGCTGGTGTGGGGGCTGTACTTGAGAACCGCCGGCTTGGATGAATCCTCCTAAGTACTGATATGTGTTGAGTTTATGTATAGTTATTACATTATTTCCCTGATGATTTAGAACCTGACATGTGCCTTTTCTCTGATTGTTCAGGATTTTTAAGCTGTAGCTTTTAAATTAAGTGGATTCAACATATATCATTCTTTCTCTTTGAAATTTTTATAAGCTTTTCTATGGAACTATTAGGTCAGCAGGACCCTCCTCTCCCCATTTGGTTAATTTACAGGAAAACATTATGCTTTTGCTCCCTCTCTTCTCAACTGTCAGCTGGTATTTGTAAATGAAATTGGAACAGATGAACTATTTGACTTTGGTTGGTATTTCACTGTGCTAATGAAATGCAAGAATTCATAAAAGTGGCATAATCCATGTTTATATAATGTAATATAGTTGAATGTTTTCCTAAGTGCTGATTATATTAGCCAAGTTTTGTCAGTTCTTCCTTCTGCAGTTCATTTCTTATAATTTTGGGAAATTCATTAGAATATGAAACCTTTGAAAACAGTGTTGGCATAAGTATGTGTAATCTGAGACTCTTCCTCCCTTCAACCTATTTCATTTCAGGCATTTGAGGTATTTAAAAAAAATGCTCTTGTTTTACTTTCTTTCTTGCTCTCATGTAGGACGAAATGATCTCCTTGGTATGAAAAAAGTGTCTACTTTTATGATATAACATTTCACTGAACAGAGACAAAAATCATGCCTTTTGATAACTTTTAGGCTTCAAAAAGCCTAGATTTGGGAAACACTTTTAAGATATTAAAAGGTGGATATAAAATAAGGTGGTTAAATAATTTGATCATAGAAATTTAAAGATATAGAACTAAAAATGATTATACTTTTGACAGGTACCTAAAAATACACATTTTAATGTTCATTTTAAATGGGTAGATGCCAAAGTGCCAAGTAACTTCAAGTAATAACCTACAAATAACTCCATTCTTTATTTTTTTTAATAACTCCATTCTTAATGAAAACACTTTATTTTGGTTTTAAAATGCAACTCTTGGGAGGCAAAGTCAAATTAGATTTAATAGGATGATCAATTTTAAAGTCAAAGTAAAAATAAATATTATTAAATAGACTGATGTAGACTTTGTTCACATTTACTTTGATGATAAGAATAATGTTATTCTCATGAGTAAACATTACCACAATTATTTTATTACTTAACTACCTGCTATCATGTATAGATTTGCTATTTATAGTATGTAGTCACTTTATGAATTTCAGAACGTTATCTGATGTCAGCAAAAGTTACTATCAGTCTGGAAGTAGTTTTTATTTTTCTGCTTATATCTAATATGTTCTAACATGTAAAACATATATACCATTATTTTATAAGCATGTCTGAAAATGGAACCCTTTATTTCTTTTTATTGTTAAAAGGGAGAGGCAGGCCCCCCCGGGGCTCCAGGGCAGGACGGACCGCCGGGAGAGCCTGTGAGTACCTTCTCAATTCACTTCTCAGGCCGAAGCTCTTTTCCTGTCATGAAGGCTATCGGCTATTTAAATTCTCCTCCCAGATGCCCTATTCTTCTTGAGTCACTTCCAGATTTGGAAGTTGTAGAGGCTCTTTGTGGAACACTTTAAAACAATGAAATATTTAATCCTATTTTACAAACTGGGAAGAATTTTGCTAGCAGAAAATGTGTGTGCAGTATAAATCACAAGCAGTCACGGCCTCACAAACAAGGGTTTAGCATAACACCTTGGTCTGTTGACGAGCCTTTTAGTCAATGGCACTTTGCCACTTGCTCTGTATTGATCTGTAGTCTATTCTCTGGGATTGCATGTTTAGAAGAATCAAGGTAAAGAAGCATATGAATAAAAAAGTATTGACTCTGAATCCTAGATACATGTATTTGTAGCAAGTGTGCCACATGACTCAACTTCAGATGAATTTTGGGAATATTTTTTTTCCACTTATTCCTACACTCATGGCCAACTTGGTCAACATGTAAATGCCAGAAGATTTAATTTTGTTTGTCAAAATTACGTATCTTTAGGGAATTTGCAATTAGTTTGAGGAGGGGAACGAGGTCAAGAAATGAAATAATAGCCAATATCTATTGCAGTTTATTACAAAGTGTTCAGTTGAGTGTTTTGAATCTAAACATTGGCATCAGAGGGAGAGAGGGATCACTGAAGCTTCTTAAATGAGGTGGAGGAACTGAATACTCTTAGAATCACTCAATCAAATATTCACCAAATTCTCATTTTGTATATTATGATGCACTGGGGCAAATTCTCTCCTTAGCTACTGCCTTCAAGAATTTATCATCTAGACTGAATAAAAGCAAAAAGTGATGCAAATAATTACCAACCTGAGGAAGAGTATAGTAAATGCCAAAATGCCAACTAGGAATTTAAAATGGAGTCCGAAGAAGACCAGGGTGTGCATATAGTCTCTGCCACATTCCACCTGTGTGAGCTTGGATACATCACTTCAGATCTCGAAACACCTTTGTCCTCATCAAAAAAAAAAAAAGTACATATCTGTAGTGCCCACTTCATAGGGTTATTGTGAGACTTACACAGGAAATGAGAAAATATTTGTAAAACTAGGGCACAAATCTGAAGGAGTATAGGAGTATAGGGAATCTTTTATCATGAGATGAATGAGGAATTTTTACCAAGGATTTGGAGCTAGATTTGGTCAAGAAAGAATGGGGATGAAAGGCAGATGAGAGGGGGAACTAATGAGTAAAGATACATAGCTAGTTTGGTTAAGGGTGTGCCTAAGAAATAATGAAATGATCTTAATGAGGTCCTGTGGAGGGCCTTTGTGGGATAGTAGGAAGTAAAGTTAGGAAGGTGATTAGGATCATACAATGGAGATCCTGGAATATGAATTTGGGAAGCAAGAAGCTTTATTCACTCGCTTTGAAGGTTTTGTAAGAAAAAATGAATAACATGACAAAAAGTAACACATTAGATGCAATTATGAGCTACTGGTCAGAATGAGTCAAAAGGAGAAGACGCTGGAATCAGGACACTAATTAGCTGGCTGTTTTGACAGACCAGGCTTGGGCGAATAAGGCATCAGCTAGGGTTTAGGGTTAGGAGAGAACTCATTAGAGATAGTGTGAGTTTAATATGTCTGACCACTAATTATTATAAAAGAATAATTCTAGGACTTAGTAACTGGATATGGGATTAGCTGTATTTATATTTTTGTTTCAGAAAAATATAAAGTGTGTATGTGTGTGTGTATCCGCTCATGCTTGAGTGAGTGAAGACAAGAGGGGGGTTGGGAAGGTACAGACTGAGAGATGAGAGAGGAGGTGGAAGGGAAAGAGGGAAATAAGAGACAATGGACATCGGAGACCGATTATAATTTGAGTTTATTTTGTTCTACATGTTTGTGTCATTTATTTGTAAGCATAGTGACTAATTTTTCTGCAGAAGCCGTGTGACAGGGCAGCCGGCCAGCAAGTCTATGTCAACCATAATGCAATGCGAGAGGCATATATTTACTTTGAAATTAACACTGCTGTGATCCCATTAATAAAAGCAGATTGAGAGGAAAGACACCAATTGGCGTTTTCTCCTGCCCTGCCTAATCCTCCTTTGTTCAAGCCTGACCCCTGTCTAGAGCTTTTGCACTAGCATACATTTTTATACCAGGCAGCATCGTCCTGCAGAATTCAACCCAACATTTAGTGCATTCCTGAAATGTGTCCAACATTGGGTTTAGTGAGGAGAGAGACATGAGACTGCCCCTGGGAAGCTCACAACCTCATAATGGAGACAGACAGCAAAAGGATAAAAAGAAACAAACTAAATTACAAAATTCTAAGGGGGAAAAAAAAGACAAGCAAGGAGTTGAGGCAGAGAATAATCACAGTTGTGAGAGTGTAGGTTATTTAGCTGTACTCTCGCCTCCTATACCAACCAGAGAGAGAAGTGGGCGTTACCAAGTGAGAGTCTTCAGTTCCTCTCCTACCAGATCAGGAAAGGCTAGCAAGGGTCCCTATCCCTCTTCTGCCACTTCTCTCTCTTTCCTGCGAAGTGGCGGGAGGCAGTCAGGTTTCCTGCGCCAGGAGACGTGCTCCCTTAGGAAAATAATGCCTAGGTTAAGCCTCTAAAATTTGCCCATATCATCTGGACATAATTCTTCTGGTCTTCAATTTTTTCCAATTAAGAACAACTAACATTACAAACTGTCCTGTTATTTTGACAATTAATGAAAATTTCATCCTTAGAAATATCATCCTGTGGAGATAGATCTTTACCATTTGTAGGGAAGCTTTGAAAACAGGAAAAAAATGGAAGTTTATATATTTGGTAATGCTAAGACATGAAGACTTCTGTTGCATGTGGATGCTGGTTTTAAGTATTTCTAATGAATGATTTGGCCCCGCTAAAAAGAATATGTTCACTATATTTGTTCTATAGTGTGGGAGCCAAGAAAATTAATGGAGCTTAAGTTGGAAGGACAGGAGCTCTTAGAAAAAAATACTTTAAAGCTAATTAAACACAGCTTATAGCAGCCGGATGATGATTCATCCATGTAAGTAGATTAATAAATATGAACTAACTCTGGGAATTCAACTTGAGGACAAAGACTGTGTTTTACTGGAAAATGATTATACCACAGAAAAAGACAAATACCACATGATCTCACCTATATGTGGAATCTAATGGAAAAATAAATTGGCACACAAAATAGAAGCAGAGGCATGGGCACATGGAACAGACTGACAGCTGTCAGGGGGGAGGCGGAGCCTGGATAAAGAATGGGGAGGGATTAGCCAAAGAACATATACGCCTAACCCATAGACACACACGACAGTGTGGCTGGACCAGAGGGAAGGGGGGAGAAGGGGTTGGGTGGAGGCAGGCAAATGGGAGAAATGAGGACATCTGTTAATAGTGTCAATAATAAATTAATAGAAAATGTACAGTTACATTCACGCGTTTATGCTTTACATTTTAAGGGCTTGTATTGTGAATCCTAATAGTAACTCAGTCCTAAAGGTAACTTACTTTCTAAGTGGTAAATTACACTCACTCACCTCCAATCCAGGTGACTGTAAACTCAGTTCTAATACCTGCTGGATTTATTATAATTGGTTTCAACTATGTATCACTGAGTTTAGGGATTATAATATTTCAGTAATTTATCCAGTAAGCACTTACTGAATGTCTGCTTTGTGCCAGACATCACATAGTTGAGGAGACTGTGAGGGTGAATGTCATGGCCTTGCTCTCAAGCAGACCGATGAACCAATAGATCACAACACAGTATAAATGTTACGGAATGGGGGCCTTGCAAATTTGGAGCAGATGTGTATAACACTAAATGAGTTTGGGGATGCTACTGCAGGGATGCATTTTTTTCCCCTAAAGAATAGCATTATTGAGATAAAATTCACATACTATACAACTTCACTTATTCAAAGTGAATAGGGGTGCATTCTTAATGCTTTCTTGGCCAAATTCTTGAATACAAATGGGAGGTGGCTGGTTCTTTGGGCTGACGAGGCAGGTGTATATAGCATTTCCCAAAACACAGAAGAAATCACAGTACTTTGGGGAAAGCTCACACCAGTTCAAGCTGCTAAGGATGCATTGAGGGGATGGGATAAAAATACAAGATGAGATTGTAGGGATAGGTAGACTGCATATCAAGAGGGGCCTTATTTGTCTGTGCTATTAGGACTTAAATTTGAGAGTGGCGGGAGCCATTCAAAGGTTTTCAGTAGGGAAGTAAGTTGATCAGATTTAGAAAGTTTTAGAAAGATCACTGATAGCAGAATAGAGAAGGTGAAGAAGGTGAACTGAGGTATGGACAGAGACTAGTAGCTGAGCTCTGTCACCTCTAGTTCCAACCCAGGCAAGAACAGTCAGAGTTGGGATGGGGAGTCTGAGACTATTTGAAATGAACTAACTGATACCAGTAGAGCTCAAGGATCAACTGCATGTGGGTAAGATGAAAAAGGATGACTCAGAATCTTACCACATGGACAGAAGCACAGGGAGACCAAGCAATAAGCCTGAAATAAAGCAAGAAGAATCAGTTTTGGCTGGTGGAAGTGATCCTAAGATATTTTTAAATGAAAAATATCTAGATAACAATGAGGGCATTTCAGTAGGAGGACTAAACTTTGAGTAATTGGAATAGACATGTAAAAATTGGGATCAATACACTTCCAGTAAGAAATAGTGGGTCAGATTCAAGGAAAGTTTAGAATTCCTGTGAATACTAGGTATAGTAGACTGAAAAAAATGCTTTTCTTCCCCAGAAAAATATCAGACCCTAACACTCAAAATCTATCAATGTTCTTTTATTTGAATAACATGTTTTTGCAGATGTGATTAGAGATTTTGTGATAGGGAAATTATCCTGGGTTACCTGGGTGGGTCTGATCCAATCAGTTGAAAGGTAGGAAGGGCATAACTGAAGTTTCTCAGGGGAAGTAATGGCTGAGACTGGG